CCTCTCCAGGAAAATGAGGAAGATTAAGCATTTTTAAATCAGGTCATTGCAAGGGAAGTGTTTGCCCTGTGGGATCCTGCTGGTGGTGGTCGGTGCGTGCAAGCCCAGGGTGGGGGGACAGTGGAGTCACAGAATCCCAGAATGGTTTGGATTGGAAGAGACCTTAAAGTCCATCCAGTTCCAGCCCCCTGTCATGGGCAGGGACACCTTCCACCAGCCCAACTTGCTCCAAGCCCCGTCCAACCTGGCCTTGGGCAGTTCCAGGGATGGGGCAGCCACAGCTTCTCTGGGCAACCCGTGCCAGGGTCTCCCCACCCTCACAGGGAAGCATTTCTTCCTAAAACCCAATCTAAACCTACTTTCCTTCAGTTTAAGGCCATTCTCCCTTGTCCTATCACTACCTGCCCGTGTGAGTCCCTTGTCCTTTGGATCCCCCTTATCCCTGGGCCACAATGATGCTTCTTCCCTACTGGAAGTCCCAGTGCCTGTGAATGACACTCTGTATTCCTGAACCCTGCAGATTCTTCCTCACCTACTTACCAGTGCCTGTAGCAACAATCCTGAGGATTCCAAAAGCCCCCACAGGCCATGCTCACCCTCTCTCCCACTCAAACCCAGCCACCCACACTCGCTCCAGACATCACACACCGGCACCCTCAGGTCAGTGTTTCCACCATACCCAAAACATTTATTTCTCCAAAACTATTGCTAATGACAATGGATACATTTTGTTGCCCCAGCATGGACTGAACATTTCCAACACATCGACTCCTAATACTGTACAATACTGTACCAAAAGGGGGAGGGGGGGGGAAAAAAAAAAAGAAGGCTGTACCTCCATATTGTACAGAGTTCTATATACAAAGTACAATTTTACACAGTTTAATATATACACCGTATATATATTGGTGTAGAAGACATGAAACAATGGAAACTGTTTTAGCAAGAACATTCCATCCCACCATTAAACAACTGCTGTCGACGACCCCAAACCCAACGCACCGTACGAGCCACCACAGGACCGAGGTTCAGACAGAAAACACACATTTCTAGACTTTGCAACCCCACTTTTCCAACGTTACAGCAGAGCCACATCACTGCGATCCCTTAAAATCAGAGATGGTTTTCAGTAATTGTCCCCCCGCTTTGGCTACATAGAGCTGGTCTTTTTGAAGAACCTGCTGCTCACAAGTATTGCTCCAGCAGTTTGGCACACTCACGAGTCCAGTCCTTTGGACTTGGCTTATTCACATCTCAGGGCTCCGCCTGGAGAAAAGGCTGGTGAAGTCCACCTCAGGAGTAAGGTTACTACAGTGCCTTGAAAAGGACGGGTCCATCTACAATTTCCACTGCAAACTGCTAAATATTTACCCTGTATGAAGCTTGGTAGATCAAGTATTAGTACAGCAGGGAGCTGCCCTCCCTCTCCACCTTTGCCTCTTTTTGGCCCATCGTTGAAAAGCAACGCTTTTGTCCCAAACTACGTTATAGGAAGCACAAAATAGAACAGGAAAAAAAAAACCCAAAAACAAACCAACCAACCAAACCTGACGTTTTCCAGGCCTTGAACTGCTGTTTTGGCATCTCGAGAGCCACCAAAATAGATGGTTTGTTCCTAGAACCGAGCCTGGAAAAGAATCCATCTGCCTTCAGGCGGCGGCGGCAGAGCCTGGAACCGCTTGTGCGTGACACAGCCGGGGCCATCCCGGCCCCACAGGCACAAGGCAGAGGGTCAAGTATTTGTATTTTCTTTTTTTTTTTCAAGTACCAGGTTGTCACACGGACACAGAGACACGCAGAGAGCTGATCTGGAAAGAGCTCAGACCCCAAAGTTCAGCCCATGAAGTGCTCGGTGTTTTCCCAGAGCTGGCGCTGGGAGCATCCCTGTGGGGAACAAACAACGTCCCCCATGAGAGAGAGAACACCCTTTTCTTCTACCAGGCCACTAAAGAAACAGCTTTATGTCTCCAACTGCATTTGAGGGGCATTAGCCAAGGTCAGATAAACCCACAACAGGGCCTGTCATTTTTGTGAAAGCTAAAAATCTCAAAATAAATAAATCCCCATCTTGTTAAACTCGTTTTCGGCCCACGACAGGCTCTTAAAGTGAAGGAAATGCCCCAGTGCTCCTGTGTTTCTTTGGTTTTGAAAGCAGTTTTCCTTGCTTGTGGTTCACAGGTCAGCAAGTAAAAATATATTTATACTTAGGAGCACATCCCTGCAAAGTCAGGGCTTGATCCTGCCAGGCACAGGTATCCCCTCCTCTGGCCACCAAACCACACTCCAAGGGACAGGGGCACATCCTTCAACTCCCACACATCCTCATGGATGTGCAGGACTGGGGCCAGAGCCTCTTACTGAGTCAAACTGTCTCAAACTGGGATTTTTGGGGATTTTCCCCTCATTATTGTTGCCTTAACTAACAACCTACGCCCCACTGAGACCACCACCTCATTTTGAGTGTTCCCTCAACGTGGATCCCACCAGCAATGGAGCGTTTCCACCCTACCTGGTCCACAGGTCTGGAAAAGGATCTGAAGTGCTAACAACTGGAGACATCGATTTCTGCGGAAGAACATCTCTCAAAAGCCCCATAAATCCCCAAATCTATACAACCTTCAACTGAATTTGAGGTTTTTGACGCACAGAAGAAGAGAAATAAGGCAGCAAACTCCACCTGCAGTGAACTTCTCTCGTCCCAGTATTGCTGGAGCTCTTCCAAGTGCGCCGGGTCACCCCTTGTACCAAGTGCAAGGTGGGGGAACTACAACAGATGGAATTTCTTGCCAAACCGAAGCGTTTCGATTCGGTAAATAAATTTATGAGAACTCGGTTATCTTAACCTACTTTTGTGCAAGAACAATCTTGCCTTAAAAAAAAAAAAAAGAAAAAAAAATAATTTTTAAAAAAAGAAAAAAAAAAATCAACAAAAAAACTCCCAAAACCCAACACATGAGGTATTCAGCACAGGAAACCCAAAGACTCCTTTCGAACAGGTATCAAAATACAGACATATACAACGATTTTTTTTTCTGCTGTCACAGTGCACTCTAATTATTTACTCATTTTTCATTGCAATAGAATATCCAGTACAGATAAAGTGAGAGAATCTGATCGTGTCCCACGGCTTCGACACGAAGGACAAATTTACAATTTATCAACTGCAAGCCTTTGGATGCCCTCGAGAGGCAGAAATTTAGCACTGGTTAAAGCACACTGCTCCATTCCCAACTAGGGAAATAAGCCAGAAAAGGTTCGAGCTTCAGAAACTATTCAGATCACCTAAAACCGTGTTCTATTTCAAAAGTTTTTGCTTTGGATTATTCCAATCCAACACCCGATGAACAAGGGTGAACACCCCGTTGTTCATCCCGAGCACTATCGAACAGACAGACGTTATTCCAGTTATCCAACACTTCTTGTCTTTACATTTGACACGAACATTACGTAAAAAAGTCACGGAAAAGAGAATTCCTACGGAAGAGCTAATATTTCTTCGGAACATGAAGATATGAAGCGACGTTGGCACCTCCCCAAGCAAACCACTGCGCCGTCCTTGCCCACCCTACGCCGGTCTCTTCTCCCGCAGGGAGCGGCGCCGACTTTCCCAGTCCCTCCTTCCCACCTCTCCAGCAGCGACCCCGGGCATTAAACCCTCGTGGCAAACCTTCTCTTGGCCTTGTGTGTTCACAGAGTGAAGCAGGCAAGGTGAAATCCTCCTTTTCCTGGTTGTGATTTTGGCGTTCGATTCCCCCGCGTGTTGAGTTTTTCTGCCGGCCGGGCAGACCCGGAGCACGAGGGAGAGGAAGGATGACCTTCAGCCTGTCATATTGCTTGCTGTAAATGTTAAGTGTCAATCACAGTGCACACCAGAATTCCAGTTGAGTTGCTCCATATACAGGTTATCCTGCCAAGCACATTCCCCTTGGCAGCAGGATTGTCCCAGAGCTGTGGATGCTAGAGAAGCACAGTAATTCAGATACAGACAGTTGCTGTTACAGTAACCTGAAGTCTTTTTTTTTTCTTGTTGCTGTTGTTTAAATCTCCTAATTTCACACTTCAGACCTGGAAGATAGAAAAGAGCATCTCCTCCAATGTGCTGTGCGTGGCTGGACACTTATTCTTAGAAACATGAACGCTAGGCATAAAAATAGAAAGAAAATAAGGCATTACAAATGAGTTGAAGTCGATTTACAGAGATCCTGCTCCTGATACAGATTAACTTTGGTCATTTACGACCAAAAAAAAAGAAAAGAAAACCAAAAAAATTCCTACTTAAAAGGAAATGCCAGCAAGTTCTGCCTGAGCAAAAAATTACAAGTTTAATTAATTCTATTTTTCCCCAAAAGAACGAGTGATTCCTTGGTGGTAGAAGTCCATCAGAACCTGAGAGCAAAGGTCGCCGGTCGCGCCGTTGGGATCTTCTGTGAGGTCCAGTGACAGTCACACACGTACCATGGGGCTTCCCCAGGGAAAGCTGAGGAGAAATGGATAACAAAGAGTGTTCTCACTGAAATCTTTCCAGTGTTCCACAATTTTCTTAATTTAGGGCACAGAGGAAGTTGGTGTTTTGAAAAGCCATCATTAATAGGGATTGATTGCTCCTGTAGAGGGAGGGGGGGTGTGCGTGTGGGGACGGGCAGGGACACAGGAAAACCCTGCTCCGTTTTTCCAAGTAACATCCTAAATTAACGAGAAAAAACCCATTTCAGCAGCCCTTCTTAGAAAAGCACGTTTTGTTTCTTCTTTTTTAATTACTAAGTGCCAATTAAACCGACATCACAGTCACGGGGAACCCACAAACTGGAAAGAAACTCAGCTAAACGGGCAAGAAAAATGATTTTTCTTTATCTTGCCCTTGCCTGAATTTGTCTGATGAACACATGAGATGTGCAGCTTGTTTTAACATCCCAGAAAAGTTTAGGAACAAGGAGAACCAGGGTCAGCCAGGACTGTGAATCTTCCTTAGCGCTGCAAGTGGCACATGCCTTTGTTGTGGGTTTGTTTGTTTGTTTTTAATTATTATTATTATTATTAAATTAAATAAACATGAGCATTGTGGAGAATTCCCAGAGGAGTACAAAAGAGTCCTTGCAGCCTGTGGGCAGCTGGAGCGTTTGCTGCCTACAGATAAATACAAATACCACGAATCCATTCACAGGTCCGAGTCCTAGGGAGGAGCCACGCCAAGGGACACGCAGGCAAGCCACTCCAGAAGCCACGTGTGCTGTCACATCACTGTCCCCAGCGGCGTTTCCTGCCCTGCTCTATAAGAGCAGAGATCCCTAAATCGAGTCACGGCCACCGACCGAAGCGTTGGCAACCAGAAAGAGGGAGAAGGTAGGAAGTTTGAGAACTTCTGATAGAAGTTGTGGTTTTTTTTTTTTACAGTGCTTGTCACTGGGATTTTGGTGAGGATCCATCCTGACATGTGATCAGACCGAGGACTGTGTGCGTTAGGAAGCGGGCTCCTGTCAGGGGATGCTTGAGTTTTCCAAATGAACTTGTTTTTTACATTCAGTCTCCCGAGAGCACACACCACGTCAGAGCCCACGGGCTGGAAGTCACGCTGAAACAATAAAGTTGTTTTTAAATACGGGAGAGCAGAGGGGGGAAAAACCAGCTCGATTGTCCATAAGCAACAACTGGGCTCTTTGTTATGCTCCTAAACCTCAGGAGCAGGTTTGTTTATATTTGCACAGACACACGTTACGTAGAACTCCACAAAAATCTAAGAGTGTTCCAGAGTAAACTATTTTTCATGACAAGTGTCAACTAAAGCATGAGGCTGGATGGTCAAGGGCTCTGGCCCCGGGGAGGGGGAAGGAAGGGGGAGCAAACAAACAAAACCAGAGGATGTGATGGAAGTCGAGACAGACCCTTAAACCACCGTGGCACCGGCGGGCGACAGAATAATAATAATAATAATAATGCACAAGAAACAGGCATGTCCAAGCTCCACGTTAACCAGTGGCACCAAAACATGCAAGAGACTAAAATCTATCCTATTGTTTCCCTGTGATAAATGAAACACAGAATATATAAGTCACTACACCAGTATCCAAAAACAGGATGCCACTGAGTGTTTCTTTCAGCGGCCAAACACTTGGACAAGGCATCAACCAGAAACCAAGATCCAACTCATCCCTCCTGTGTGTGTTTTCCTGCTCAGCTTCACAGTGACCCGACTCCGGATTTCCCCGAGCGTGGCAGGAACCGCTTTGCCCCACACACATCAGCCATGTGGGGACGTGGGACGAGGTTGTTACCGCTCAGTTCGCTCCCGGGAAGAGCGAGTGGCAGTTTCTCAACTAAACCTTCAAGTTCAGGAAAAAAAAAAAAAAATCACTTAAATAGGAATTTTAACGTCTTTGTAACGGAGTCTCTCCATCCGCAGCGGTAAGAGCCGTCTCCACGGAGCAGCCCCGAGTTCATCACACAGTACAGGACTTGTCAGGGGGCTGCTGGGAGGCGGAGGAGGCCACGCCGGGGCTCGTGGCGCTGGTTTTGGGGAACACGGCGGGTTTGGGGCGGGTGGCCGGAGGTTTCACCTGCGTGGCCATTTTGACGGACTTGACGGGCCGGAAGGTGCACGGAATGTCCCCGGCCGTGCTGGCACTGCGCTGGAAGGGCGGCTCAGAGTCCTTGAGGAGCTGGGTGTGCAGAGGGCTGGAGGGTTCCGAGGTGGGGGCCACCACGGGGGACGTTTTCAAGGGCTCCAGGGTGTCCAGGACAACGTCCGGCGTGTGCTTGACGCTGCTCTGCCTCTCCAGCTCCCGCAGCTCGTTCAGAGCAGAGTTCATGGTGGCTTCAATGTCCTGCAAACACAGAGGAGAAACCCAGTGAATAGAGCCCAGACACAGAAATATATAAATAT